GCAGCGGGGCTCGGCCGCCGGGACCGGGCAGAGCAGGGCGGCACCGGCCGGAGCCGCGTCAGGCGCGCTGAACAGCGCCCGAAGGCGCTCGGGCATCTCAGCGCTGTGCTCTCCTCAGTTACGGCTCCAAGGAAGGAACGCTCCCGCTACAGAAATTGATTTTCCTTGTCAGAGTCCCAAGTGTTCCACTCTTCTGTTATCATTACAATATTGCTATTACTTAGCTTTAGAAAACCACGATGTGAAGTTCTAATAGCCCTTGCATTCTAAAAAGACTGTCTTTCACAAGCTGTGATTCTGACATAACCTTAATGTAAATACCGTGTTGGCATTCCTGGTGCAAAACAGATTATTGCCATAAACCCAGGTGGAGGCATCATCCAGCTGTACCCTTCATCCATATGAATACAAAATATTGCATTCCAGCAAAACAGTGACTCAGAGTCTGATACTGACTGGTAACTGGAACAGATCTGCTATCAAGGGGGCCAGTGCAGAAGAAATGCCCAGAAAGGTTGCGTAGTCATCCTTCATCCTCAAATCTTGGATGCAGAGGAGGAAGACCACTTTATTCTTGCTCTATAAATTATAGACTTCACTGCTTGGAAGTACGACAGCTTTACTCACAGCTGCTGTAAGATTCACTGATGACAATCACGTTACAGCGCAGGGCCATCTCCCCTTTATAAGGTGCTTCTGAGCCTGTAAGGGCTAAACTTGTACATTTATAAAGTTTTATAATGGCATGGTGGCTTACTAGGGCGTGAAAAGGATATTCTTAAAGAAGAAGTTCAGTAATTTTATCTTTAATGTTTGTAACAATACAAATGTAGCTGTCCTGAGAAATAAAGCAATAAATTGAAAACATTTCCCTTTGCTGATGGATACAAAATACAGTTTAAACCACATGTTAGAGTATCCTGTGATGTTTAGCCTTGTAGAAGAGAAATGTTGATTACAGTCAAACCAGCCAATAGCTCACAAGATGATGCATGTTCTCAAGGCACGTTGCCTTCTTTCATAATTCCATAAAAACCAGTACCAAGGTACTTATTATGTAGCTGAGAAGACAGGTTTAAGACACATTTTAAAAGTCATCATGGTACAACTTTTTGATACTTATTTCCATCTATTACTTTGCCATGTTTAAAGTATATTCCAAATATTTGTTAAATATGCAACCCATTTTCAATTTTCATTCAGCCGTTAACACAGCTTTTACTGAAATGCAGCCCTCACCAATTTGCCTTTCTGAATCACATGACCACATAAGGTATATGTTTGCTTAAAGCTTTTAGTAATTGTCTCAGTTTTTGTTTTGTCCCTTAGGTCTTCTTTATTGGGATATGAATACCTCAACTGCAAAGTTATCACATAGAATAAGATATAAATAATTTATGTGTAGAGTGTAGAAGTGTTGTGAAAAACATCTTTAAGCAAAAAAAAAAAAAAAAAAAAGAGTGGTGAGCCAAACAAGCTTGCCTTAACATTGATCATTCTCATACAGCAGTAGATGAACCAATTCAATTTGTGCTTATTATTTGGTGTCAGTGATCTTTAATGTGTTTGCACTGATGTCATTCAAAAGGAAAGCTAAATCATTAACTGGAAGATAAAGAATAATATGAAGCTAGATATAGTAAAATCTCTTTCGAGGCCATATGCCCTGTATAATTCCCTGCAGTCATTTGTATTTGTTTCTGGGACAATTTATTAGCCTATACCACCTAGTGTATATTATATATTATCACCAGATAATTTCTCCTAAGGTAGAGGAAAGGGTAAACTGATAACTGGCTTAGAACCCTAAAATAATACTGTTTTCAGTACCACCAGTGGGAAACTACTGCAGTTCCTAAGAGACTTGTAATATCCTTTGACTGATGTAATTAAAACTTCTTACACCTTCTTATAGGCATTACTTGAAAAGTCTATTAAATCAGTAACAGTTAAGGTACTAAATGTACTAGATAAAAACATGAAACAGTAAGAGAACTCTACAAAGTAAAAACAATCATAAAAGTCAGTTCATTGTGTTTTGCTGCTGTTCACAAATCCTCAATGCCCACAATTCTTTGTAAATCTGAAACAGAACTTTTTTTCCTGGGGGGAAAGGTTCCAAACAAATTATTCTAACAGACTTTTTTTTTTTTTTTTCAGATTTGCACATTGAATTTAGAAATGCATGGAATAGCCCAGCAATATAATTTTATCAATTTTTCTAGGCTGTGTCTGGAACTCTCACACATAGAACTCCCTTTAACTTTCTTGTAAGAAATGTTTGTGTGTATTGATGTGATGGTATCAGTGGTATCTTCTGTGATGTTCTCTTATCAGAGAAAGAAGATGCAAGACAATCAGTAGGAATTGTATATTAGGCATTCAAGCAGCAAGAAGCACTGAGCCTACCTGCAAAGTACCTGAGCAAGAACGTCTGGGGAGGGTGTTAGACTCCATCCCAGACCCAAATCATCAGCCAGGTTTACAATGATGAGGCAGGTCTGGATCAGCAGGGCTCAGAGCCAGGTGAGGATTGGGGCTGAGCTGCAGAGCAGCATCACACAGCATCTGGAATTGAAAAAGTTGTAGTCCCAGAAGGAACTTGAATAGAGCTCCAGGCTCATGTGTAGGGTGGATGATAGGGTTGCAGGTGGGGATGCTCAGGGTTTTTGAGGCTCATTAGTGGCCTCATGGGCCTTGCAGCCAGAAGCACAAGAGAAGGAACTCTGAGGAACAGTAGGAGCAGGCTGCTTCATAAAGGAAGTGGGATTTAGAGTGATTACAGGTCAGGTACGATCCCATATACCTGATGAAGGTAAACAGAATTGTGTGTAGCTAAGTTCAACAAGAGCCCAGACATCCAGACAAACCCCTTGTATCAAGGCAGGTCCAGCATCAAGCTGAAAAGCAGAGTCATTAGGTGAGGTCAGGTGGCAGTAGCCAGTGTCAGTGCTAGCCCAGCAGCCACCAGGAAAGCTTGTGTTATCAAGGCAGGTCCAAAGCCATACAAAAATATTGAGTTTGTGGGTCAAGACCTGGATATGGCACAGACATGGCTGCAATAAGATGAAGGCAGACACCACGCTTAAGAGCCGCTTTTAAATCACAGATCTTGCATGAGGGAGGAGACATCTCCCTTGTGGTGTCTTAGAGTTTGCTCTCAGCAATGTGGACCCAGGGGAAGTTTTATCCCAGGTCAGGATGCTGGTCTTGAGCAGAACCAGATGGCCTAGGAGATTGAAGCATCCTATGGCCCAAGAGAAGAGGTAGTAGGAAACAAGGAGAGGAGCTAAGCTCTCCTTAACCAACAGTGTCTCTTTCTGGAAATCATCCCTTGCTCTCTAGATGCTAAGTAGTGAGAGCCTCAGAACTCTTTTCCAAAAGAACCTTGTGAAGTGAAGAAGGAGGTAGGACAACCTGTGACAGAAATAGTGAGTGAGGGAAGTACAGCTAGTGTTAACTGAAGGACAGCAAGCAGGTAAAGCTTGCTATTGGAAAATATGTCTTCCTACCTCAAAAAAGTGTCTGTAAAAATGCAATGAGGTTAGTAGGCCAGTTTTGGATTCATAAGAAATGTGATGTTCAAGCTAAGGAACAGGAATTTAGACAAGAAGCAATGAGGGGACACTCTGGGGAAAATATCTTGTCCCCATTCCAGAGCTTTTGAGTGAACATTTCTGGTAGCTGACTTGTTTTCTGCAGCTAATGGAGATTTCCTTCCGGAGAAACCTGAATTTTGAAGTTGGCAGCACACCCTTGGCTTCTATGTTTTTCTGGCTACAGTGTGTGTTTATGCAATGAGGGTTTCATGTATAGTCAGTTATACTTCAGCTGTTCATTCACAGAAATTAGCTCTCTTAAGTATGCTCCCTTCTTACATTTCTACTTCAGAAAATAACCTTTTGTTACTCTTAATATTAGTTCAGCTCTGCTGAGTTGGTTTACCATGAAGAAGTGACATTAAGCAGAACACCAAATTTTTTGCACGATAAGCAAAGCCATAAATTATTCTGGAGGAAAATGGTATAAATGATCAGTAGAAGAGAGCATTACTATTGCTATACATCTCCAAATTTTCAAAAGAAGGAAGGCCTTAAAGAACAGAGAAAGAAAAGTAGGTAAGGAAATGGACAAACCTTTGCAAAGAGAACAAGTGAAATTATTATGCAGGTACACGAAGCTGCAGAAATGCAGTCTGAAGTTGCAGCCATTCCTGATACTCCCATGAATTGAAATTAATCTTAATCAGAATAATAGAGAAAAATGTGGTAATAGGAAGAATATAAAATGAGAATGTATTGATCAGAATATATTGTATTTTCTTTGCATTAAGGTTGGTATGCTATCTTTTTAAGGTATTTTTTTTCCCTCTGAATCTTATTTTCTCTTGCTCTGTCACAGTGTTGGTAAACATGTAAATATTAGTTGTTTCTATTTTATTTCATGCAAAATTCAGTTAACTCTATGCTGCAAACTACTACAAGCTAGGAAACTGAAAACTAGGGCTGATATTCTATGTTTTACATACCCTGTAGGCAACCTAAATACTTAAGAGAATGCTTTGAGAGCATTGTCAGTTTTAATTTTGTATTGCATAGCTTCTGACAGTTTGTTAAATACATATATGAATTATTTAAAAAAGCACTTATGTAGATATTAGTGTATTTGTAGATCTTCAGTTCGCTGTTTCAGCATGTATTTACGTGCTATATTTTTCTAGGGTTTTTTTGTAATATGGGATTTTCAGCTAAGGAAAGAGTGTAGACCATTTATAATTTCTGAAATAATTACCATACAACCCAGCTTGGTCAACAAAAACAACGACCAATTTCTGTATATTTTCCCTGATACAGCATCAGGCAGAACTCCAAGTTTCATTTCTGTTCTCCCTCAACAGAAATGAGTGAGAAATGAATGGGGTTTTGTTTGATTTTTTTAATCTTAAGCTACTTTTTCTATATATAAAAGAGAATGAAATGTAACTCTGTAATTTATAAAACCATTTGACAAGATGGTTCTCTGAACAGAAGTATTTTTTTAAAAAAACAGACTCACGTTTTTAATATGTCAAAAGCAATTGATAAGGTCATGGTGGTCAATATTGTAATCAGTTACAATATTGAAATAATTGCAAGATTTCTTTACTGTTACAGAAGATAGAAAAGAATTGTTTTTCTTGCTCTCTTGTTTTCTATTAATCCTTATTACCTCTGGAAGTGCATGTTGCTTTTCCATGTTAGTTTATTAATATTCTGTAACAGTATCTTTTGGAGGAAGAGGCTCTCTGTTTTCTTCTGGTGGATTCAGGAATCTTGGTTCTCCTTGGATCCACGTCCCTTCCCCTGGAGATTCCTTCTGAGTGCACTGGGCCATGGTTGTTCAGGCACATTGTTCATTTGGGCTAGATAAAACCAAGGCTTCAGTCTCCCAGGCAGCTTGTGGATGTAACCTGGGATTCCACCATTTCAGACTCCTCAGCTGTGTCTGTCACAGCCAGCCAGGTCCACAACCTCCACAGAACCTCTTGTGCTGTTCCAGAACACCAAGAAGGGAACAGCTGCAAGTCATGACTCTTTCTTGTATACTGTACCTGCAGATTTAACCTCAAGCATGCACTGCTGGCAGAGCAATTTCTGCTCTCACAAGTATGTCATAAAGAAGAAGGGAAAGGCCCTTGGTCACAACCAGCCCTAAAAATAGAGTTTTAGGCCTGTGCTGGCTGACCCAGTGTGTGTGTGTGGGTACAAATCAACCCCAGAGTTTTCTCTGCATGTGGAAGTTGGATAATCCCACTACAGCCTTAGTTAATTAGCGATATGTTCATAGGACAGGAACAGTGTGAGTAATTCTTTCCATTAAAAGAGACCTTGATAGACCTTCCTGTGGGAGTCAGGAGCAGAAATTTCAACATTTGGCTTGATGTTAATAATATGAAAGAAATATCATGGAGACATCACAAGCATCAGCAAAGTGGGGGAGGGGGGAAGGTCTCCAGTAGGGTGGTGATAGGGAAAAAAACCACCCAAAACTAATTGAAATAAGAAAACTCACAAGTGATTTGTAAATTAGAGCCTCTAGTTACCAAAATGCCTAATTAATTTTCCTTATTAGATTGCTCATAACATTAAAACATTACTTTCTCTGAAGCACCACAGTAGCAAATTCTGGGATAGCCTAGGTAGATCTTTTAAGTAGGTTGCATTGGCTGGAAGAGTTGAATTTTGTTATCAACAGTGGAAAAAGAAAAGGTAATTGAAAAGGTTTCTTGTGCTTTGGAAATGCCTTCCAAATATTCATTAAACATTTAAGCGACTAAATTTGCAGAATATGTTCCTGACATTGGCACTGGTTCTGTGGTATTTCTCTCATCAGATGGAAGTACTGTGTGTTATGCAGAGTGCATTCATGCATAAACAATATCATTTTCATAAATTAAAACCTCCCCTGCAGAAGGAACATCTGTGCCTGCCTTTGAATAAAAGATGGTGGCATGTGAGTTGCCCCTTGACTGACTAGAAGAATCCTTGTATTTAGGAAGAAGGCACATAACCAAAAGGCAAGCAAGCCTGGGTCAGCTTTTTCAATTTTATCTGAAAAATCGTCATTCAGTTATCCTCCTCGGGTTATCCAGGGCACACTTACCTGTATTGCCACTGACTGGGAAAGGTTAATGTGTGCTTGAAAAGTTGCCTTTTGCGTTCTTTCATTTCAGATTCAGCAACAGTTTTCAAGTGTGGAGCTACAAGCTCTGGTGAAATGCAGGGAGATGCTGCAAAATGCATCAGTCAGCATTGCAATTAAATTGTAGCATGTTTTTAACGGGGAAGCCTGGCAGCAGGGGCTGCTGAACTGCTAGGACAGGTTTGCCATGCTTACACGTTGGATTTCTGTAGCTACAAACACCTTTAAAATAGATGCCAGAAGCTCGATTTCTCCTGGGGGAAAAAATTGCCCTCATCCATGGGAAAGCTTGTTTACTTTCTGCTGGGTTTAGCTGAAATATTTATGCAATACCTGCGCTTTGTGACAGGCTTAATATAAAGTATTTCAGGTAACGTCTTAAATCTGTTTCTGATGGTCAGAGGCAAAGACCTGTTGATAATTGTTCCTGGTCATTAGGGGAATTGCTCTCCCGCAGGTTGCGTCTCCGGGTTTCTTAAGCCTCAAATATAATCAGCGAAGATTAAAGGAATACGCTTCCCGTCTGGGAGAGAGGAGGGGACGATGAATCGACAGCGCGGCTCCAGGTCTGCCTTGCGGGGGGAAGGCGCACCTGCTGCCGCCGCGCCGGGGCCGGAGCGCCGCTCCCGGGGCGCGGCTCCGGGCCGGGGCGGGCTGAGCCGCCCGGGCCGGTGCGGGAGCCGGCGCAGGCGGAGGCGCAGCGCCCAGCGAGCCGCGCTTCGGCCCCGCTCCCCGCATCCGACACATCAGCATTGCAAATAGCCGGGCTCGCTGTAAACAAACGAACGCCTCCCGGCCCCGAGTACTTCTCAAGGTAAGTAAAGAATCCGTGTCCTTTTTTTAGTCCAATTTTATTCTACAAATAATAAGTGTTGCACCTTTCATGAGCTATCCGAATAAAACAATAATCCCATAGGAATTACTTACACTAAGAAAAAAAAAAAAATCACATTTAAGGAAAAATGCAACATTCGACCAAATGTTCAATACTATGTTGTTGCCAAAGGATGGATTTTTTTTTTCTAAAATCCCAGTGTGCATTACACCATAATATACAGGATTACAAACAAAATTACAGTACAGATTGATTCCAGTTGAACCAGCGTTACATTTCAAACAGCACTTATTCTGGACTGCATTGTACATGCAATAGCTATTGTTCTAATTACGGATTAAATGGTTTGAATTTGTTTCAAGCTACCGTACTAATCGACTACAATAGGTATATAGCCCGACTTTAACAACCTGATTAGATTTCGGTTCAGATTTATAAGATGAGCATATGACAACCACGGATTGTGTGAACATGTATAAAATCATGCATTTATAGCGCCTGGAAACATTAACATCTTCAAGTTATCTTAAAAAAAAAAACAAAAAAAAAAACCAAAACCAACCAAAAAATCCAACAAACCACTTCTACGGAATGCGAAGGGATTCAAAGACTAAAAAGAAACAGTGCAAATTGTATGTGATAGTCAAGCAGCTTTCGATTTAAAAAGGGTGTTGGCATTTGCTTATAATCTTTATATACAAGTTTGTGCAAGTAATGTGTTGAAATGATATGTTTTAATAGAAAATAAGTCTATCGTTCTTATATCTTCTCAAGACCTAGGGGATCTGGTTCTTATTGTACGGGGTAAAGGAAAAAGAAATAAAGAAAAAAGAAAAATAATTTAAAAAGAGACTTGGATGGGAAAGAAATTGCCCGGATTGTGCATTTTTTTTTTCTTCTTCAACTATTTGAAAAGGAAAGAAGTGCTAAGGCAACATAACTTCTCTAAGCACTTTTCTGCTGGTTTAAATTAGTTAAATCATTTTGTATAAATTAGATATAATTCTACCTTTCCAATATGTATAAAAATTGATGAAGCTGCATGGTTTAAAATAGGAAATTCACGTTATAAAAAGTCATTAAAAATTCTGTACAAAATCACAACAAAATAATTCAGCATGGGAAAGGTAACAAGTAGTAAAACGTTGGTTGAAAAATATAGATTTCATATATATTTTGTAATTGGCCCATCGCTAGTTTAAAAATTGCATAGATCCTAATTATTGCTTGTGATTTTGTTATCCCGATCAGGTAATTGACGCGATCCCAATGCCCCTACCCCAATTTACAGCGTCGCTCGGAGGAGCGGAAGCAAAGAGCGGGCGAGCGGGGCCCGAGGCGGCGGCCCGAGGCGGCGGCGGGGCCCGCCGGGCCGCCCCCTGTAAACAAGGCTGTGGCGGCGGCGGGGCGCGGCTGGCCGGCCCCGCCTGCGGCGCGGGGAGGCTCAGTCGTGGAAGATGGCGTTGAGCTGGGCGCTGAGGACGCGCTCGTGGTGCGGGTGGCCCTCGTAGGGCGCCAGCCCGTCCACCGGGATCTCGCAGCGGGAGGCGGCGGGCGGGAAGATGGCGGCGTGGGCGGGCGCGGCTGCCAGCGCGGCGGCGGCGGCGGGGTAGTGCATGGAGAAGGCGTAGCTCTTGTCGAAGTCGGCGGCCGGCTCGTGCTTGAAGGAGAAGTTGCCGTTCACGCTGAGGGGCGGGCTGAGCGGCCCGTCGAAGGCGGGGCTGGCGCCCTCCGCCAGCCCGCTCTCGAAGAAGGGCTCCAGCGCGGCGCCGTAGGCGTGCGGCGGCTTGAGGTGGAAGAGGTGGGAGCTGTCCATGGTGCCGTAGGGCGGGCTGGGCAAGCCCGGAGACTGGTAGGGGTAGGGATGCGCCGGGAAGGGCGCGCCCGCCGCCGCCGCCGCCACGTGCGGGGGCACCTCCTGGCTCTGCTCGGGGAGGAAAGTCCGCGGGTTGAGCTGCAGGCAGCCGGCCACCAAGTTGGTGGTGGGCTGCGACAGGCCCTTACAGAGGGTCTGCACGAAGGACACCAGGTCGGGGCTCTTGCCCGAGCGGAGGATCTCGGAGAGCGCCCAGATGTAGTTCTTGGCCAGGCGCAGGGTCTCGATCTTGGAGAGCTTCTGCGTCTTGGAGTAGCAGGGCACCACCTTGCGCAGGTTGTCCAGGGCCGCGTTCAGCCCGTGCATGCGGTTGCGCTCCCGGGCGTTGGCCTTCATGCGCCGCAGCTTGAACCGCTCCATGCGCGCCTTGGTCATCTTCTTCTTCTTGGGGCCCCGCCTCTTGGGCTTCTGGTCGTCGTCTTCCTCCTCCTCCTCTTCCTCCTCCTCTTCGTCCAAGTCGTCCTCCTCGTCCTCCTCCTCTCCGTTCCGCAGGGAGTCCTCCTCGGCCTCGGCGTGCAGACCCTCCAGGTCCTCCTCCTTCTTGTCCACCTCGTGCTCCTCGTCCTGGGAGCTGAGGCACTCGTCCGTCCAGCTCGGGGGGCCCTGCGGCTGGGGCTCGCCCATCAGCCCGCTCTCGCTGTACGACTTGGTCATGGTGAGCCTCTGCATGGCGGAGGGGACAGAAAAGAGACGTGTCAGCACCCGGAGCAGCGGCCGTGGCCCCGCGCCACCACCCGCGGGGAGAAGTTGTCCGCGCTTCGCTCCCCGGTCCCGCCGCCCCCTCCCGAGGGAAGTCCTGGATTCCCCACCGTGCCAGGGCAAACTTTTAATTGTCTCCGCGTTTCTGCCTTGTAATTAAGTTGACATATGTTCAAATACCATTATGTAACTCGCCGATATTAGCGGGGAATATAAGCAGATTATGCGTGCGGGAGCCAGCCCGGGCGGCACGACGCAAAAGGACCAAGCGTGGGTTGGTTTGTTTTGTTTTGCTCCGGAAAAAAAATCCTCAAACATTTTTACCGAAGAGGGGAAGGGAGAAGGAGGACACACGCGCACACAGGGCACCTGCAGGGACGGATGGCGCCTGTGACGCCTGTCCCCGCCGCTCTCCGCGGTTCCCCCTTGCCGGCGCCTTGCGTGGGGCTAGTGCCGCCCCAGCGGGCGCCGAGCACCTGCTCCCCGGGCCCGCCTTCGTGCACGGGACTGTCACCGGGTGCCCGCGGCGGGGCTGCCCGCGGTAACAGGTGCGGGACTGGCCCCGGCTTCCCGTCTCCGTCGTCTCCTCTGCTGCAAACGAGCATCGCTTCCCCGCTTCCCGTGTGGGGTTGCGACCGCTCCCCGGTAGCGTCGGGCACACCGGGAAGAAACAATGCCGCACGGCCGCCGAGGCACAGCCTGCGCCGGGAGCGCGGCGATCGCGTCCGCGGAGGAGAGGGAGCCGAAAGTTCGGAGGAGCATCGGTGGAAGCACATTAACACATGTAATATGCGTCTGTACAAACGGACGCACATATATACATATTTAAATGTGTGTATGGACGCACATACACATTTACATATATATGTATGTGTGTGTGTATACACACACCTACATGGATGGATGGATGGATGGATGGATGGATGGATGGATGGATACAGGTGTGCCCGCACACACCAGCAGGAACGACAGCAAGTGACAATAAAATCTGAAGCCGCTCCGGCAGAGGCATGTCCCGTCCGCCCCGACGTCGCAGGGTCCTCTCCCACCCCGGCAGCAGCCGCGAACCCTTTTCCCGCGGGGGTAAAGCACGGTTTCCCGTTACCTCCGTTGCTCAGCCTCTCCTGCGCGGTGACGGTCTCATAACCTCGGCACAGCTCTCGGTGCGAGGGCGCCGCGCGTGTGTGCGTGTGGTGGTTTTTTTTCCCGAGGTTGCCCAGCGCCGGGCTCCCCCCGTTATATAGCGGGACGGAGGATGCGCGCCGGGGGGCCGGCACCGGGACCCGGGCACCGCGCGGCCGCCGCGCCCCGCGTTATTTGTATGCGGCCGCGCGCCCGCCCGCCGAGCCGCCACGCCCGCGCTGACCCGCGGGCCGCGCCATCTGTCACCGCCACCGCCACCGCCACCGCACCGCCACGGCCACAGCGACCGACACCGCACCGACACCGCACCGACACCGCCGAGCCGCCGGCCCGCGGAGCCGCATTGTTCCCATTGTTCTGGGGTGCGGCCACCGAGGGTCCCCGCCGCTCCCCTTTACATCTCCTAACGCGCACCGGTGACCCCCCGAGACTCCCCGTCCCTGTCCTGTTCGCTCTCTCGCCGCCACAAGCCCCCTCCTCTTTCCCCGGTTTTCGCCGGGGCTGTTGTGACACACGCACAAACACACACACACACCTGCCGCTCTGTCCTAACGCCTGCAGTAAAGGCCGGTTCGCTTTCACCGGGTTTTCGGTGGGAATACTGCCGGTTAACGGAAAGTTTGGAAGAAAGACGCCGAGTGGGGCGGCTTTAGAGTCTTTAAACGCCTCGGCGGAGTTTGCAGACGCCGCCAAACCCTAAGGATGCGCTTTAAGGAGGGAGATAGACCCCCTCGCATGATAGCTGTGGTACCCGCACGCATTATCCGGTATTTGTTCAATAAAAATAAAATTATTTTCACCTCTTGAGGCTTTAAATGCGAAACAAATCATTCCGCCCTGAGGAGATGGACTTGGAAGATAATTTTCCAGGTCGGGTTATTTCTAAAACGTTTCTCTCCTGTTGGTGACCTACATAGCCCGGGGCAGCAGCAGGGGACTCCGGGGAGGTTCGCCTTCTCGGTAATCAAATACAGAGGGCGACCGGCTACTTTTTGTTATGCCAAAGCTGGCCGGTTCCCTGTGGGAGGCGAGGGCCAGCAGCGCGGTGTGTGCCACCCGGTCCGGCGGGTGGGGCTGGAGCGGGGCACCCTCGGGCCACCGGCGGCGGCGGCCCTTCCCCGGGGCACAGCGGGGAGGGGAGTGCCGGCGCCGACCCACCGATGGATGGCCCCTGCCCGTGGAGCCTTCTCGGGACACACAGGCGGCCCCGGGCCAGGCTCCGGGAGCATGCCCGTACCCTGGGCGGCTGGGCCGGGCCTCCCGCCGGGCCGGCAGCCCCCTGGAGAGCGCGGCCCCATTACCGGGAGCTGCTGGAACGGACGCGTTTTGGAGGCGGTGTTCTCCTAACCTCGAACAGGTTTGGAGAGCGCAGGAGAGAGATGGGTCTGGTCCAGCCCTATCCGTTGATGGAAAATGTCCCTTTGAATGGGTCTGTCTGGGAATACACCCGGGAATGTGGGGCGCTGGGGAAACACTAGGCAAGAATATTGGGAGGAGGGCACCGGCAGAAAACTGGATCTCGGGGCGCCGTGAGAACTTTGGGGTGCTCGTGTGCTTCTGTGTGTGATGAACACAGTCATCTTCCTTGGGAGCAAGATAAAATCAACACGTTGTCGATTGGCAGGTAACTAGAGAGACAAATAAAGAAGCAGGCAGTCGGACAGTTGGCTTAAACCCGCCGAGCCCGGCTCGTCCCGTCCCAGTCGTGACTGGCGAGGGTCCCCGCGTGGCCGTGGAGAGCCGGGCCAGCAGCTCCGAGGCGCTGCTCCGTGCCGCCCGTCGGGGCCGGGGCGAGCGCTGCGCTGCGGGGGCACGGGGCTCTCTGCCGCTCCGCCGTCATCCTTCCCGCTCTTCCCGCTGCTTCGGCACTGCTTCTCCTCCCGATCTCGCTGGCAGTCGGCTCTGCCTGCCCTGCTCGGGCCGTCCCCTGGCTCAACGGCTCCAGTTTCCCACCTTCCCTGTTTCTCCTCTTCCCCCAGCCGCTTGATTTTATCGCTCCAAGCGTGCCTATTTTTTTCTCCCTGACCAACAGACTCCTCCTTCTCCATCTGGCTTCTAATTCGGCTTCTGTTTATTTTTCTCCCCGAATCTTTTGATTTTCTTTTCGCTCACTATTTATTTTTCATGATTTTTAAATTTTTCCCTTTTGTCTTTTCATTTTCCCTTTATTATTCTTTTTCTTTCTTTTCTTTTCTTCTTTTTTTTTTTTTTTTCTTTTCATTCCCTTTCCCTTTTCTTTTTCCTTTCTGCCCTCCCTCCCTCGCTGGCTTCCCGCCCCCCTCCGCTCCTCCCGCGGCGCGGCACGCGAACCGCACGCGTCCCAACAAAGCTCCGTCCGGCCCGGCCGCCCCCGCTCCTGCCTCAGCTGCCGCCTCCCGGCCCCTCCGAGCCCTGTCCCAGCCGGCCGGGAGGGGGGTTTGTTGCGGGGGAAGCGGCGCTCTGGAAACGCCTTACAGTTGTCCGGAGCGCGAAATCCGCTCCCGATGAAAATCTCTTGGGTTTGCGGCATTATCTTAATTAAGATAATTGATTCATATTGCACCTGCGAGAGTGCGGGGAAAAGATGCCTCCCCAAATAGCTTGGAGCTATTGGAGGGAGGAAGCCGCGCTTATAATTGAGCGAATGATTTACTGCCCGGGTAGCCCGGGCTGCTCCGGGCTCTCTCCTTTCGCTGCCAGGTTTCCCGTTCTCCCTCTCCAGAGAGGCACCCACACAAAACACGAAGGTTATACTGAATAAAAAAAAAAGAGAAGGGAAAACGTCTCTCCCCGCTGTCCCTGTGTCCCACCGCACCGCGCCGTGGGGCCGGAGCGCGGGGATCGGGCTCGGGAAGGGCCGGCTTGGGGCTGCCCGCGGTGCTCCCCCGCTCGCCCCTTTCCAAACGCTGCGGCGACAGGAGGGGACGGGAGGAGAGGGCAGCGCCACTGCCCGGATCACCCCGAGCTGTGGCCAGCCTGCTCCGGCTGCCGCGGCTCGGGAATCACCGAGGGAGAGCAGCGCTCTGCAAGCAGCGCCGGTACCGGTTCGGTGCGGGGTGAGACCGCTTCGCACTTCGTAGCGTCTCTCTAGGATACAGTGTGCATCGGGGCTCCAAAACTGGTCCGGGTGATTAAGGTGCCTTTTCTGCTCTTTCCCCCCTTAAAACTCAGCGTATTAATTTTATTGAGCCTTTCCCTGTTAGATAAATGCTATTGTTATTTTAATTCTATAAATGTAAACTTCTATTTAGTTAATGGAAAATACATCACCACCAAGGTTTAATTATCAGCTTTTTAAATTACTCTTTTAGTCAAGTGCACACAATTATGAAATCACAATAGATTTAAAATATAATTCAAATTGATTAAAAAAAAACAAATCAGAGAAGTACGTACCATTAAAGCAAATGTCTAAATTGTATTGGTAGGCCGGCTACCTCCTGAGCTACAGTTTAAATAGCGTCAGCACTCTTTGCTATCGGTGTCAAACCACCTCTGTTATTAGGAAAAAGGATTCTTATCAGAAGGGATTTAGATGCTGTTGTAACTGCAAAACCTAATTATTTTTGATCCAGGCATTTACCCCCAGAGTCCCACCTTGTTTAAATAAAGTGTTTTCTTTCCTCTTGAACAAATGCATTTCCATTTGAATTAAATATTGATAATTTGACCTTTTAGTTCCTTTAACTAATCAAAAGGAAAAAAAAATCCAAATGTAGATCCTAGTGCCTTGCCCTAGTGGGTCTTTCCGCTTGAATAGACACCGAGATTAAATGAGTCAAACTTCCTCTTTCATTGCACTCTCTTTGCACTAATTGCTTATGCAAAAATGCAGATTTGTATTAATT